CGCCCGGCGGGGAACCCTTCCCGGCCATGGTGCGCTGCTGAGCGCGGCCCCCGGGGCCAACGGGGCGGACCATGAACCTGGTGGGGGGCTACCAGCACCACCACCACCACCACCATCACCACCACATGCTGCACGACCCTTTCCTCTTCGGGCCGGCGGCTCGGTGCCACCAGGAGCGAGCCTATTTCCCCGGTTGGGTGCTCAACCCCCCCGAGGTCACCCCGGAGCTCCCCGGGCAAAGTCCAAGCTACGGTCCCGCCGAGTACGGCCCGGCCGGCCAAGGGAGGCTGGAAGCTCTCAACGGTCGCCTGGGACGGAGGAAAGGGGTCGGGGGACCCAAAAAAGAACGGCGGAGGACGGAGAGCATCAACAGCGCCTTCGCCGAGCTCCGCGAGTGCATCCCCAACGTGCCCGCCGACACCAAGCTCTCCAAAATCAAGACCCTGCGCCTGGCCACCAGCTACATCGCCTACCTGATGGAGGTGCTGGCCAAGGACAGCCAGCCCGGGGACACCGAGGGCTTCAAAGCCGAGCTCAAGAAGGCCGACGGGAGGGAGAACAAGAGGAAAAGGGAGACGGTAAGAAATTCCCGGGCCGGGAGCGGGTGGGGAAAACCCCGGGGTTGGGGGGGGGGAAAAATAAATCTTCCCGGTGCCGCTGGAGCTTTTTTTGTTTTCCAGCTTAAAAATTAAAAAAAAAAAACACCAAAACCCAAACCCAAACCAAAAAAAACCCAAACCCAAACCAAAAAAAAACCCAAACCCACCCGTTGGGTGCAGCCGGCGGAGAAAAGCCCACCCCGACTTGCTCGGAGGGATCCCGACGGGTCGGGCGGGTTCTCGGGCGCTTTCCCCGAGGGATAAACCCCCGGGACCGGCCGCGGCGGAGCCTCCCGTCGGTTCGTCCTTCCCCTTTCCCGGCCGCTTTCCCGGGTGCGTTTCGGAGCGAAGGCGGCCGCTTCTCCCCCTGCCGCAGCGGGCGGAGATGGAGGGGGACACCCCCCAAAAAACCTCTTTATCCTCGGGCTGATAAAAACCGCTCGGAGCCGCGGGGCTCGGCTGCAGCCCCGGGGAGGGACGCAGGGTGCGGGCGGGCGGCGGGAGCCCTCCCCGGGCCCTCCGCTCGGTTCCTGACCGTTCCTTTCTTTCCCCCCCACTCCCTTCTCCCCGTCTCCTCTCCCGCAGCAGCCCGAGGTCTATTCGCAGCCTTTGGGCCACGGCGAGAAGAAGCTGAAGGGCCGGACGGGTTGGCCCCAGCAGGTCTGGGCTCTGGAACTGAACCCCTGAGGGCTGCCCCCACTTCTCCCCCTCCATCTTCCCCGGCCCCGACGGCTCTTCCCCGCTCGCCCTTCCATGTGCAATGTCGGGGAGAGCCCGGCCCGGCTCCCGCAGCGCATCCAGCCGCAGGATGCGGGTACCCGGCCCGGTTCCCCCCCACCCGCCGAGACGGATGCTCCGCGGGAGACAAGCGAAGGGCGCCTTGCGGGGCCGGATCCTGCCCGCCCCGTCGGGGGCCGTTTCCCTCCTCGCCCCCTTTCCCCGTTTGCAATACTCGTTGCTCCTTCCCTTTGGCAGCAGCGACCGGCGGCTCCCGCCTTCCCGGGCCGGGCTGAAACGGTTGGATTCGTTTTTGCTGTTGTAAATACGAGCCCTTGTCCCCCGTTATCCCCCGTTATCCCCCGTTATCCCCCGTCCGCTGCCTGACCGACGTGTGGCTGCGGTGAAACTACCTAGAGGTGCATTTGGGAACACTCCTGTGCCGGGTTTTCTACCTCAGATCTGCATGACCACTTCCCGAGGGACCGGGCGCGCCACACCACATATTTAAAACGGAATAATTAAAAAAAAAAATTAAAAAATAAAATAAAAAATTAAATACAATAAAATTTTAAACTTTATGCAAACAGCCTCGGGTCCGACCCTTCCGCCTTCCCCTCCTCCTGAGATCGCGCTGCTGCGGCCGGGTCCCTGCCCTCCTGCCCGCACTAAGGGATTAAGGAATCCCCTGAAATCAGTGTCCTGCAGTGGTGCTGGATCCATTAGAGGGAATTCCCTCCCCTGAGGCTCGGGCAGCTCCATGGGATCCTCTGGGACTCCTTTATACCATGCTTGCTCACCCCAGGACGTCGAAGGGCTCTTCGAGTGCGTCCCCACAGCCTGCCCCAGGGCACAAACTCTGCCCCTGCCCTACAACCCCTTCTCTCCTGACCCAGGAGACCCACCAGAGGGACCGGACTTGTATTTAGCTTGGGGGAAGAGGGCAGGATCAGGCCTTTACAGCAACGGGGTGGCACGAGCACCGTAGAACTGTGGAGTCTCAGTTTTATGGCTGCCACGCAGGGAACCAGGGCTCGGGTCCCCTCCCTGTCCCAGGCAGCTCCCCTGCGCGGCTCTGGCACCAGCAGACCTTTCTCATGGGGATCCCCTCTTCGGATCTGCCTCGGCCACACTTTGCAGGAATAATGTCCCCTCCTCACCATCCGAACACAACGAATACCACCAGCCTCAGACACACCGACACTCACGCATCCCAGAGTCATCTCTGTCCCCTCTCAGGCAGAAATCCTTAATAACCTTTAATAATTAAAGCCGAATCCTCCTTCCTTTTTTCTGTGCACACACAACTCTGCTACTGAAGGGGGGTTTCCAAGAAGTGTGTGCAGGAGCTGAGGGCCCCATCCTTCCCTCCCAGCCCGGCCACGCTGCCGTTCCCAGAGATGCCAGGAAAAACCCCAACCCTCAGCCGGGGGAAGGAAAACTGAGACCGGGAAGAGTCGTTCGTTATTGTAGGGTTAACCTGAGGGCTCAGCCGGGAGCATTACATTTTCTGTTTTAAACCAAGCTTTTCCTTGCAACTACAGGTATAGAAATAAGGATGAAACGGCCGTAAATCGCTGACACGTCGATCAATTTGTGCATGAGCAGCCGCACGCAGCAGAAATACACCCGCTCGCCCCTGAACACCCGTGGGGTTTATAACCACTTTATGCGTGCATACAAATACTGATGGACAGACACAGAAATATTTCGGGGGTACAGCCGGCATAATTAAAGCTTGCAGAGTGATTAGGCTGTGTGAATCAGCCTTCCCTTGCTTCGGAGCCGCTGCACGGCTTCCTTCCCAGCCCCTGGTTTGTTTTCTGATCTCTTTGAGTGAGGCTGAGATGAAAACTGACTGCCTGAGCAGAGCAATGCCCTCAGTGCTGCTGTTTCGTTCAGGCTATAAAAAGTTTAGCCCAGCACCAAGTCCGTGAGTGAAGCTAGAATAGGGTTTTTCTAAAATCAAACACATTCAAGGAAAAAAAAAAAAGAAAAAAAAATTTACAGAAAATCAGCCCCAGATATCCTATTAAATGGCTCCATTTCAGAATTCCTTAACGGGCTGGATTTTTACAGGAAAGCTCCCAAGCCATCACTAACACCGTAATCCAGCGCCCCATAAATGTGTCCAACCCCAATCCTGGTGCCATGTGCCAGCCTGTATCCCTGTATCCATACGGCACCAGTCGGGACATCGGATGATGGAAAGGGTTAAATGGGAAGCTGGGACTTTCTCTGCTGTGTAAGGCAACAGGGACACTCCAGGAGCCGGTGTCCTGAGTCCGGCACAGCGGGCTCTGACTGGAACATCATTTACAGCCTGGTGACCCTCCCCTGCCCTGCCAAAAATCTCTGGTGGTTTTTCTTGTGGATTTCCACCTTTTCTTCTGGGAAGGGGGCACCCTGCGCAGCCAGTTTCTGGTGGTGGTCCCCGCTGGCTGCAAACCCCTGGGAAAGGTGTCCCCGGCACCAGCCTCCCTCTCTCCTTCCTGATTTTCCCAAGTGAAAATGCTCCCCATTTCCAGGTCTGCAGGGGGTTTCCCTGCCCAGCAAGGGGATTTTCCCACAAGTTTGGCTCTGCGTTTTGAGGGAGAGTGGGTGAAATAAAAATACTAAACCTTTCCTGTACCCTGGGGCTTCACTGCTCCCCAAAACTCATGCTTGGGAGGGGGTGTATTTGCAAGCAGGGAGCTCCGTCCCCGCCACAGCTCGGCACAGGCTGGGGTCTCGATGCTGGTCCCAGCCTAGGAGGGGGTCACCCCCTTCACCCCCAAAGGGAGAGGAGCTGCAGGGAGGTGGGGGAGCCCTGCACAGGAGCAGCCTCTCTTCCCCAGGCAGCAAACCTGAGCGATGGGGAGAGGCAGCCTCCGGCAGGCAGCGACACGGCTCCCGGTGCCGGCTGCGCCCAACCTGGCTTGAAGAAGAACAGCTTGGCCACCAGCTTGGAATTTTTGGCAATGTGAGAGCCTAGCTCACCAGCCAGGGGAGGTGGCTCTGTACACACACCTACAGCTCGACCTTGCCATGAACTTGGTGCCGTTAGGAAGCAGCACGCTCCTGGCACGCAGGATTGACTCCGCGGTTGCCCCGCACAGAAGCACACGCACGCAGGGATCGCTTGGCCCCGGGGGCAACATCATACGTGCTGTGTCCCCTGCTGCTGAAATCCAGCCACGAGGGACAGTGGCAGGGACCCAGCCACCCTCCTGCCTGCCCTGCCTGGCCCCTCGCCCTCCTGCCTGGCCAAGGGGGCAAGTGTTGGGGGCAGAGGGGCTGTCAGGCACTTCCCACCCCACTCTCTGCACCTCTGGGGTTTGGCGTGCAAAGAAATGACTCCTCTTTTTTTTTTTTTTTTTTTTTTTTTTTTTTTTTCCCCTTTTTTTTTTTTTCCCCCCCCTTCCTGCCAAGCCCAGACCCCTGCTTGTTGTTGTTGTAGGTATTTATGGGCCTGTTTATCTGATCTCGGGGGAGCCTATTCTTATCTCAGAAGCAGCAAGGGAAGGGTTACACTGGACAGCTCGGTAGACAGTATGGAGCCAAATAAAATACCAATCTGCCAAAAAAAAAAAAAAAAAAAAAAAAAAAAGAAAAAAAAAAAAAAAAGGAAAGAAACACCCAGCCCCAGCCATCCTCTCACCCAGAAGCATGAGGGTACCTGGAGCAAACCTGCAAGGCCTGGGGAGTGCTCGATATTCCTGCACAGCTCCACTGCCCTGCTCCCTGGGCTGGATCCTGGAAGGGACCCGGCTTTGCAGGGATCCAACACCACCTTCTCCGGGCAGAGACACTCGGGCAGCAGCCCCGAAATGGGCACGGTCCAGGCTGTGGGCTGGGAACCAGCTCAGGATGTGTCAGCCCCCAAAACAGCTGCTGGTTTCAGGAGAACAGCAACAAAACTGGGCAAGAAATGCCCCGGCAGCCAGCAGAGGAGAGCGTGGTTTAGTGTCACTGAAAGAGGGGAAGAAAAAGACCTTTTTTTCAGTTTCAGGTGGGTGGTTACAGCAGTTCAGCCGTGATGCTGCTCTTGGGGTGAGGAGGGAAATGTCACTGCTCGGGGTGAGAAGCAGAGCAGGTCCCCAGCCCGGCAGGGACTCGCTCAAGGTCGCCCCAAAGGTCATGGCCAGGGCCAGGGCTGCTGCCTCCCATCAGGGGGCCCCTCTGGCCTGGCCCCAGCCGGTGACAAGGGGCAGGGGGAAGGCATGGGGCAGGGGGGAAACCCCCTGGACACCATGGGGACCCCCATCGCTGCTTTGGCCTCTCCGGAGTCCAAGGGCACAGCTGGGGCTGGATGGGATGGGGTTGGATGGGATGTCCTCTCCTGCCATGCCAAGCAGGGGGGCAAGGGCAGGCTCATGCCAGGGGTCCCCCCACAGTCCTTGCCCCCTTCCCCACCCCACACCCCACTCTAATTACCCACTCTTAAGGAAGCGCCTGATAATTCTGACCATTTAAGGTAGCCCCAGCCCCTCTCAGTAAGGGTAATTGGGCCATAATTTGTTTTCGGTGTCAAGATGGCGTCAAAGATAAGACAAAAATCTCCAGGTTTGGGGGCTAAAGAGACAGGAGAAATCCTGACCCGGGGCCGACCTCGGAGGAATGGCCACAAGCCCCAGTGAGTAACATGGCAGGTGAAAGATTTACTGCCAGGGGAGCTTTTTGATCCTCTCCCAACACTTGGAGCCTCTCAGCCCAGTTGCTGGCTCCCAGGTTAGACTGTCTCCTGGGAGCACCACTCAGGTGGGGAGGGTTTCTGTCCAACAGAGGCCCCCTCAGCTTCAAAGTTCATGACGTGTAATAGTTCTTCCTCAAATCTCTAGGCTTCTGGAATCATGCAAGTCACAGACCCATCTAAAGAGATTTCCAATCCATAGCTGTAGAAATGACATCCAAGCGTAGGAGGACTCTGATGCCACAAGGCAGATGAAGGTTCTGACTTTTTTTCTTTTGTGTTTTTAAAACAAAGTCAAATTCTCAGAGGTTTTGCCCCTATGGCTGTCCCTGTTTGGGGACTAACACTGAGCTCTACCCAGAGTTTATTTCTCCATGCAGCTGCCTGCGCTGGGAGAAGGCCAAGAGCGCTGCACCCTGGGCCAGCCTTTCCAACATCATCCTTCAAATATCATCCACCCCATGCCCCTACCTCTCCAAAGCCAACCTTCGTTGCTCCACTCCATGAAGGCCCTTTCCCTGGTGCAGGGTGTTGAGGGAAGTGAGTATTTATTCCTCTCACAAGAGTCACATGCTTGGTGTAGGGTTAGCAAAGGTGCTCACCATGGCTTTCTGAAGAATGACCCGTTCTTGTTCTGCTCAGTGGTGGAGCAATCCCATTAGCAAGCATCTTCTCTGGCAGCAACAAAACTCTACTGCCAGTTTCCCACTGATCTTCTCCCATGACATCTCGTTACAGCCCTCAGGTGAAGCTGGATGGTGTGGGGTGGCACAGCAGCCCACTTGCAGATCCAGGATGGAAGCTGGCTGGGAGCTGGGGCTATCTGGTGGAGGATCAGTGCCCTACAGCTCAGGGCAGGGGGTAAAAACAGCCGGGCACGTTGTTCAGCAGGACTCCATGCCACTTCCATAGCTG